CTCGAACCACACTGCACACTCATGTATGTAACTGTAATCTATTGTGTCGTGTTTTATTCGTCAGTCGCTAATGTGAAATGAGAGGATCAGCAGGCTTTATTTAAATTTATGTTGTCTAGATTCTATGAGGATCTTGCTTGCAATTGTCTCAGGTGCCGACTGGGGTCCACAACCATTGAAATAAATCCCTTAATGATGGTCCATTGACCGATGCACCGTGTATCCCCGAGCCCACTAGCTCGCTGGTAACAACCGGTTCCAAAGACAAATCACTGGAAATGATGGGTCCAGGCATACAGTGGGACTCGTGATGGAATGTGATGGGAGGGTCCCAATGGAAAGTGATGGACAGAAGGACACCACAGAAGGACACTCCTGGTTCTGGGGGTCTACTTCTTGGTACCTCGACAGAGCAAACCTCCAGTTGTCGATTCTGTGTATCAATGCGTCCATTAAAGTCATTTCTATGACCCTTGACCCCCATGCGAATCAATACTCGGACGCTTTCGGACATGTCCCACAGGCGAAACGGTGAGACAAACCGCCACGGCCTCGCAAAACCCTGTGAGTTCACGATGGGCCTGTTGCCGACGAATCGTCAGATCAGGTCTCAGCCAAACCAGGGTTCGAAGGCACCACCACAGCAGGCAAACAAATCAAAACGCCCAAATGACACAGCCATGCAAATCAATAAGTCACCGGACATTCCAATTGGTCCTTTGTATACTTCCTGTGAAGAAATCACTGCTGCCATCCAGCACCTTGCAAGGGGGCATCGTCAGGTGGGTTCGGACTGTGCACTGAAACTGGTGCAGCGCCAGGCCAGCCACTTGGCGAGGGCGAGTGGATGATCCAAAGACCTTTGCCGATCAGAGAATGTATGAACAAGCCCGTGGTAATGACCCTGTCAACTGGTTGGCTACGATGTATAGAGTATACCGGCTTGCATTTGATTTTGCTTCGTGTCCATCAAGTTTTCGACTCAAACCACAGGCAGGTGCTGGCTGTGCCCAAGCAAGGTCTATATATGTGCCCACGAGGTGCGATCTGGGTGGCTTTAACCTGGGGTCATTCGCTTCCTATGAAAACAGTCAAATCTCAGATGAGTGGGGTGCTAATTGAACGCTACCAGCTATTTCTGCCCTTTCAGCCGCACAGCTCAGCTGAGGTAAAATGAAGGAGTATCAGAGCAGCATCTGGGGTTATGGCTATGAAACCAGCATTGAAGGACGCCCTTCCACGGGTCACTAGACACCTTGTCGATGCGACAGAGCGCTACAATGAGTGCGTGGGTAAACGGTGTTTCCAACTAGTAATGAACGAACTTCATGCAGCTTCTCATTCATGCACAGTGGGATCCACAATGTCAAAAGTGTCTCCTGAGAGCTCTGTAGATGTCCCGGAGTCCCAAATGACCAAAGAACAGCAGCTCATTCTTCCAGGAATCAGCCGTTCAGAATGCCCAAGTGATGCCACCTACCTACCAGAGGAGAGCAAGTGCGTTGTGCCAGGTCGGAGCTGAGCGGGGCTGAGCGGGGCGGTTGATGGGATTGAATGATCAAAAATATCAAATGATTTCCTTTTGAGGTTGCTCTAAGCCATGGCTTCGGCCCACCCAGATGCCAAACTGGATCCTGTCTTGAGATGTGAACTATTTGGGCCATACGGTCTTTGGGCCAAACATATATAACTTAAGTCATGATATTGAGCGGTTGCGTTGCGCGGTTGCTTTGGCCAGGTACTTGGAGGGAATCTGGTGCCGAGAGCAGAGGTGAGTGTCACGGCGGGATCTTCGTGCCAAGCCGAAAACTCTGCTACCGGCGAGAGACCTTCCAGGACCCTCCTCGCTGAGCGCTGCAGGCAGACTGGGGTCAGAGGACTTGAAGCCATGGAAGCCAGTCAGCAGTTTGGATGGAGACGGCCAGAAGAGCCTAAAAAGAAAGGGCTTGCTGCACCTTAACGTGGCAAAGGGGTGGTGTAGTGTCGGGGTTCAGAAAGAGTTTAAACTCTATGCGAATATCTGCTATAGATATCTAATAGATATACTGTAACATGTGCGTATGGTGCATAAATCATATGCATATACTGTATACATATATCAAAATCGCAACCGGGCGGTTCCTACCGCCAGCGATCGGGCGCGCCGCCCCATTTTCCGCTCATGGATGCTTGATCCGAATGGCGTTCCCTGTGAACGAACGGTGCTCGAGCTCATGCCTTGCAATTTAACACTGCTTATATTTTCTATATTAGCTGGACAGATATCGACAAGGCAGCTTGCACGAACATGGCCTTTCTCTTAGGCCTTGAACACTCGGCGAGTGTTTGTGCCGGGAATCAATCCTCCCATGGTGGGATCATGCTGCTTGCTGACATTTTCAGCACATACGATATACTTGGCAAGATCGCCAAGCTCTCCGGTTGCTGAAGCACGACGAGAGTGAATCCACTTGACATAGCTAAGGCAATCATCGGACTTTGAAGCCACAAGATCGGCATAGCTCATTCCCTTGCCTTTGAACTTTCCAAACATGATCTCGGTGCTTCCCCACTGTGACAAGCTTTGAATGCCTTCAGGAAACATGGCGGAGATGTCATCTCCAGGCTTGTCAGGAAAGGGTGATGGCAACATCTCCTTCACATAGCCGCTACCCAACGGACTCTCGTCCGACGGAAAGCGTTGCAGTGACTTCTGAACACTCCTTTTGGCAACTGGCAGCTGATCATCGTGAAGACGCTTTGAGGAATCATTCATAGTTCCAACAAGCTCGAGAGGGCCTTTCGGAGGAGAGCCTGCATTTGGGCAGCATCGGTCGAGGTCCAAGACATGTCGATCAGGGTGGTTCCTGATATGTCTCTTCAGAGCACTGCACCTCGAGAAAAAGCTGCGGTGACGCACAAACATATGGCCAAGTGATATGCAAAGGTGAAAACGACAAAAACTTGCACTATACAGGATGGCAAAAACGGCAAAAACTGAGTGAGATGCACTTCACGCTTCCTAATGACGGTCGAATACTCTCTACCCTATTGGACTATTGACCCAAACATTAGTTCCCAGCGTTGTATCCATCACTCATTTTGAGTCTGGGGCATGTCCTCGCAGGCCTGGTTCCTAGACATCATTGAGTGACGTCTCTGCTGAGCAAGAACGTGTTCTTCAGGAGAGATCTGATAACTACCATTTCTCATACAAGCTCTAAGAAGATCTACGGGATCTAACTTGTCTTTCGTCAGAGCGTCGGCCAACATGCGATTGGTGGGTAACCATCTAATGAAAGCTTGCATGCGGCGCAGGGATTCCCTTATGATCACAATATCTATACTGGTCCTACGGTCTTCTACGGCTGTGGGTGATGACGGTGAAATCAAGTGATCATAGAGAGACTTGCAATCCGTGGCGAGAACAGGTGGTCTTTTTGCAAGACGATTCAAGAACTCCCGGGGCTCAAAGCCACCATCAAGAGCTTCGCTCAAAATGAGATTCAGCCACTCCACCGTTCCCGATGCCGTGGACAGAGCTTGACTTTCTCCGGACAGCGTAGAGCTAACAGCTCGAGGCAATTTGTAGCTTTTCCAACACGCTGGAGTCCAGTGAGAGATCTGTCCATCGTTCAGGGCTTTGTTGACAAAAGCCAAAATGTACCCAGCTTGTGTGTGGGTACCGCGATTGGCAAATGCAGCGTCAGAATAACAGCATACACGCAACTCAGCAGGAGGTATGGGATGAAATTGAATCTTCAAGTCCTTGTGCTGCTTGATTCGACGGATGGCATTGTTAGCCTCTCTCAAGTGTTGTATTGTCGGTTTGGGAAATGCTTGCTGACTGACACTTGTTTGTACAGCTACATCGGGTCGTGATTGGGACGTGATCCAATTCAAACTGCCATTTATGGCCCTCAGCATGCGAGTTTGTTGCTCATTCAACTCCTGATGGTTGTCAGCCCCCTTTGGAATGAATGCTGGTCGGATGCCTTCAGCAAATGTTTGTTGGGACATACTAATGGCTTTGCTCTTGGGATCTTGAGTATAGAAGGCACCATAGAACTCTCCAGATTGTACTCTCCACTTACGGTAAGGAAAGCGCTGTTTGAGGTCCTTTACTGCCTTTTCGAAGGTGCTTCCCGAACCTCCCAGAGCCGTATCGTCGACGTGCACGCCCATCACACCAACCAAACGGTCATGCTCTCGCAAGAAGTAGAGGCAGGAATCAAAAAGAGACCTTTGCCAACCGAAGGATAAGGCGGCTGCGTCGAAAGCCCTGTGCCATGCAGATGGAGCGTCATTCTGTCCGTAGACGTTACCAACCACCTCGAGAACAGCTTCGGTTCAACTCCAGGGATACCCCCTTGAGGTTGTCGGGCAAAAAGGGGTCGGAAACGTTCAGGCAGAGGGCCAGCCTCCAGGAATGCGCCTTTTATATCCCCTAACTGCAAATCCCATTGGAATGAACTAATCAGTTGCATTAGAATCATCCGTCCCATTTGACTTAGAGTAGGACTTTGCAGGAGGCCCTCATCCAACTTACGATCTAAATCGGGGTCCAAATGGCCTTGTAAGCACCAGCGGCTTTTGATGCGGAACGAACTAGGGTCACTGGTGTTGATGTGAAGGTTTTCCTCTAGAGGCTTACGAACGATGACAAATCGGCTTCCCATGAACCGCTCTGGATACTTGGACTTCAGCCAAGCCGCTTTCTTGCCTGTGTGAACCTTGATGGCGCCCTTTTCGATGAGTGTTGTCCACTCCACAAGCTTAGATTCATCAACCATTTGTTGAATTAGGGGTTCATTTCCAACAGCTGGGACTTCCTTGGAAAGTTTCTTCTGCGTGTACGCTGCAATCAAGGTCTCCACACAGTGGGTACTATCCCAGATGCTCATAAGCTTGCGACAGTCCTGTACTGACAACACTTCTTCGACATTGGACACTACGGAGAGGGACTCATCCTCGCTGGCCAGACGTGGTTTAGTCGGCGGCGGTTCGTCCTCTTTTGGCCGCTACCCACTAGCTTCATGAGTATCCTGGTCAGGGTTCCAGTTGGGGTGATTCTCACTGACCGGTGCAGTTGACACATGCTCAGCAATCAAGCGGGGAACTACTTCTTTCATCAGATCAATGAAGTCATCTTGAGCATCGGTGTGGGCCGGTACATGCAGGGCTGCAGGACCACTTTTCATGTGGATTCGCGAACGAGTGCGCACAGGACCGTACGAAGCTCCTGACTCCCGATCTAGTGAGGAAGATGTTCGTTTGGGTTCTGACTGTTCAGACTCGGGTGTCTCAGGAGCATTGTCGGTGTCCATGGTTTGATGCTCACTCGCATGTGGCAGTTCAGGAGTGCTTTCAACAGGAGCCGGAACATCAGGTACAGCTTCAGAGGACATATCCTGTTGTTCTGAAGATTGTTCTGGTGGGTAGTGACCTGGCACCAGATCCACGAAGTTCTGACTACGAAAAGTTCCTCCTTCGATCATGTCACGAATTCCCAGAAGCTCGGTTTGAGGGGTCTGAACTAGTGCTCTTTCTTCACCAGTAGCTGGTCGCAGTTGTTCAGGCGCACAACGAAAGATGTGCTTGCGATGAGCAATGATATAATTGCGACCTACCAACCCGATCACTACCGCAGTCCCATACCACCGACCTCCCAACAGAACTCCTTGACCGGCCTGAAACTTTTGGTGCCGCCAGTAAGCTACTAAGGCTCCAGGCTCAAACTGTTGGTGCAATCGAGGTCTCGAAGCCAGGGCTCGGCGGAGTGATGTGCTGTCTTGCATCTCAATCACCGCTCGGCGTGCGGACAGGTGTATGGCCTGTGTCTTGGCCAGCGTTTCCTCTGACAAGCTGGCCGTGGCAGGTACCACATGTAGTGGTTCGTCGAGGAGGTCAGTCGGTACCCTGGGATTTTGACCGGAGACATGTTGATGGGGTGTGTAGCCATAATTCTGAATCAAATGATTCTTCACATGTGCATGTACCACACATTCTTCCCAATCTTCCTTGGTTTCGGGGAGATGTTCAGCTAGGATCTTGGTCAAAATTCGTGAGAACCAACCACCTTGGACCTCAGTCCGGCCGAGTTGCCAGTGTGCTTCGCCTGCAATCTGTCGCACTTCTGTCCCTTGAAGGTCGAGATGATTTTGAAGGGCTTCTCCCATGTTTGTACGAGCTTGATCAATCACAAGAGCTTTGGGTGGACCGAAAGGACGGATCCAATGCTCGGTGAACAACTGTCGAATCAAGGCGGTCGCTTCCGTTTGGAAAAAGGGTATCATCATCTGATAACAACTGCCATGACAAACAATGTTTAAGGCCTTGACTTTTTGATTTGCATGCCAACCGGGGAGATTCTTCACATCAAGTCCAACCACTTCATTGAACCCTGGGACTCGACCGGTCTTGGCTGGAAGTGCAACGTGTGGACGGATCTGATTCTTGCATATGTCGCACTCAAACTGACGAGCCAGAGTGATGGCCTTTTCACTGGCATTGGCGTGTTTCAAAATCCGGACCAAATCATGCGCAGGAGGATGTCCTAGGTTACGATGCAAACTATCCAACACTTTACAAATATCAGCCTCTGACTTGTCGGCTTGAAGGTCATTCCGCGACATCAAGACCTCTTGGCATTGACTCTCTGTACAAGGTGCACACTGGACCAAACTGGCGGCTGTCGACTGTCGAAAGGCAGGAATGGTATTGAGTGTTGCGTGAACAAACTGCGGAGTATACTGTCCAGCAAAGGTACTCACCTGTCCTACACCAGGGGCAGAACCAGCTATCTCTTGGTGACAAGAGTGCTTAGGATGCGTTGGACCAGGACATTGACGTGCCAGGCATTTCATGTCTTCATGACTCACCAACAAGTGAGTAGCCTTTTTGAGAAGTTTCGACTGGCCTGGTAAGCGGAGTCCATACCTACACATGTGACACAACAACAATTCATGATCCTTGACTAGGGCTTGAACTTCCGGATACGACCACAGATTTGAACCTTGTGGGTGTTCGAAGATGGCTTTACCTCCTAATGAGACTTGTTGCTTGAACAGCTTGCAACAAAACCGAATGTACATGCGGCTCTGAGCTATTCGTCGGGCTCTCTCCGAGGCTTCCATGTAGATGGAGTTCAGTCGAAACCAGCCACCCTCGTCCGCGCAGGGCGGACACAGAACTAGCAACTTAGGAGGCGCTTGCGCCAGCTCACTCGTCACCCGATTCCTATCGGCGACACGACGGAAGTCAAAACCATTCACCAAATCACATGACCTACCAGAGAAACCCATTTGGTGAACTAAAGGGCAAAATCTGGGAGGCGAAAAGACTTCGGCGACCATGAAATGTTTGCCATCAACTTTCGAGGGCACAAACGACTCAGTGGTTGAGGACACTTCCTTAGTCCTGGCCTCCAATTGTCGTAGATGATGCACTGGCAAGGTCTCAATTGTCGATGTCTCTTCCTGAGGCAAGAAGTGATATTCAGTCTGGCAACGCCACACTGACGAAGGCAGTGCACGCCGATAGAAACTCTTTCCCCGTTGGGGTTGGATTTGCTCATCAAACAACACTTCATGCGTGTCCATGTCAGTGACGATACGACGACGAACGGATGACCACCTGGGACCTTGCTTTCCAATGGCTGGGATGTGAGATGAAAATGCATCAACACGACTCCATTGCGACAACTTCGGATGCTCTGGGCCCGGGACCTGATCTTCTACTGGAGTGGGCTCACATGCTTCGGAAGGCGAAATGGCTGCAGGTGTTGAACTGGGCTGCTCGGACAACTCAGCAGGAGCTGAAAGCATGATTTCTGAGAAGGAATCACTGGTCTCAGCAGGGGATCCCATCAGATCCACGGTGTACTGTCCAGCTTGGTTCATCGAAAGGGGAACCACTGTACGACTGTCAAAGACTGTCAGCTCGTTGGTCTCGAAGTTGATCACCGCCTTCAGTGTTTTTAAGGCACTGCGAGAAATCAACAACGGAGCCTGCCCTTGTACAATGGCTGCTTTGATTGTTCCCTTGCAACCACCCAAGATGACTGGGACTTTGATGGCCTGCTTTGAAGTCTCCTGTTGGCCACTGCCATATTTAAAGTGATTCACTTCATCAAAAGGCATGGGAGGTGTAGTCCGATGTGTCTTCCACAATTCCATGAACTCTGCCAATGTATCAGCTCCAATGATTGAGCGACCGCAGCCTGAGTCCAGGACGCCAAATCCTGGGGAACTGACGAGCAGCTGTTCAGATTCCGTTGAGAAGGTACGTGCTTGTCGCTCACGAAGGAGGTGAAGGGACAACCAAGGGGTGGTTTGACAATCCACCAAGGCAACAAAGGTCTCTTCCACGACCATGGCAGCAGCATTTTCCTTGCCCTTGACAGGAAGGCTTTTGCTCTTCCCTGAACCTTTTCCAGCGGCTTTGCATTCACGAGCCCAGTGTCCAACAGCTCCGCACTTGTTGCACTTAGTGCGGCGCTTCAGCTCTTCAATTTCCACCTTGAACGAACGGCGGACATCTTGGGCCTGCTTGAACTTGCGAGCACGCTGCAACTGTCCCATCTCCTTACGACGTTCACGCCAGCTCACTGCAAGGGCCTCTGCCACATCAGGTTCGTCAAACGCTTCTTCTGGCTCATCGCCTGTGACTTGGTGTTCGGCGATGAACTGTTCGAACTCGAGCAACTCTTCATCCTCAGGATCAATATTGTCGTCAGCAACACTGGTGGCATCCTCAATCAATGAAACACCAGCTGCACGACGTTTGCTGACAACATACCCTGGATATACTGATCTCATAGATCGACCGATGTCCTCCCGTTTGAGGCTTCCCAACGACCGGGCTAGAATCACAGCCTTCTGCTCGCTTAAAAGGCCAGAACGATGTAAAATCAGCCAGCCTCTTGCCTCCTCCGGGAAGTTGACATTGACTTTGCGTTGGCAGCGGTCGAAGAGCTCAGTGGCTCGGGAAATCCATGTCTTGAGGTTTTCCCCTTCAGCAGCTTGCATCGAAAAGATGGCCTGGAGCACCTCAGACATCTCATCGGAGGCGTCCTTCTGAGGAAATCTCTGATCCAAAGAACTTTCTCTCCTTCTTTCTTCTGATAGGTGGCAGGATCTAAATGCTCCACACATTCCAGAGCTTTTCCAGCAAGCAACGTGTATACATACGCTCCTCGGGCAGTTTCGGGCACCTTATCTGACAGAGTGAGCAGCTTGTTGGTGACCCAAACCTTCCAACGGCGATACTCCTTAGCATCTTCCAGGCCTCCACTGAACATCTTGAATCCAGTGGTATCCGCAGAACTAGCCATGGCGCTCATGCCTTGCGATCCGGCGACGGGTTCCTACCCTACCGGAGCCCTGAAAATCAGGGCCCCGCTACCAATATCAAAATCGCAACCGGGCGGTTCCTACCACCAGCGATCGGGCGCGCCGCCCCTTTTTGCGCTCATGGATGCTTGATCCGAATGGCGTTCCATGTGAACGAACGGTGCTCGAGCTCATGCCTTGCAATTTAACACATATATACCGTATATATATGTGGAATAATTGCCATTGGAGCTGAATGTTTTGAATGCAACCCACTTATAGATAGATGGATTGGTTGATTGATTGATTGATTCATTGGTTGTTTGCATTGAATTGAATTGAGTTGCATTGATTTGAACTGAACTGATTTGACTTGGTTTGTTGATTGATTGCATGATTGATTTACTGATATATTGATATAAGTTGAGATATATGTACACAATCATTTTTGGTGTTCTTCGCATTGTTGAAGGAGAAATGAAAACGATATTTCATCCATCCAATCCCTTGTAAATCCTTTTGGAATGGTAATTTGTTCTCAACCCTGGTTTCCTCATTACTTTTTTGCTCCACAATGCAGTCGTGCCCAGTTATTGAGCTGTCAATTCTAACATCATGGCTGACAGCATAGGAATGAGTGAACCATGAAACTGCATGAACTGCCTCAAACATCATTTGATGTTTTTTCCTGCATGTGAGAAACATGCATATCAGAGCAACTGGATGTGAAGAGAGTTCTGGAGTGTAGAGGTTGTTGCACCTTGGGATCCACAAAGAAACAAAGAAACAGCATGAAAGTTTACATAAGATGATCTTTGGACAAAATGCTTCCCTGTCACCGGATGCCGCGGCTCTTGGCGCTGCATGGCTTCGGCGGCACTTTCGGTGCGCTGGCGCCACGGGACCTGGCGCGATTGGCAGCGCCCATGGGTGCCAAGGCGCCGGACAAGCTTTATTTTCGATTGTGTGCTTGTGTACTCTTAGCACTGGGTGTCAATCGACTGGGTAGACGGCAAAAAGGCAATTGACGAAGGACAACATTACCAAATCTCTGTGACATTCCCACTGGCCTGAAACCCGGAAGCGACACTGCTTTTTGCTTCTCGAGCCTTCCTTGAGCCGGCGGATCTTGACAAGGTCTGCCATTTCAGCTCTTGCGTCTTATGACCCCATCAGGGTTCCCCCTCGCGCGTGGCAGAAGTATAAATTGAACAGCGTCACATGGCACTACTGCGACAGCAACACTGACACGAACTATGCTAATACGACCCTGCGCACTGCGCACCACATCCAGGGATGGTCACTCCACTGCACTCTGCTGCACCGGTCGTTCCTCTAGTCGTTGTACCTCCCGAGGAGATCATCTGCCTGATCGCCCCCAACCGCCATGCCTCTGGCATCCCTGCTTGGTTCTCTGGCGACCAGTCACCAGCAGGTCGCTACAACGGCTGGAGCCTCACAGAACAGCGTTGGGCGGAATTGGCAGAGTCCACGGCGTGCGCAACCGGGCGGCGGCCACCGCCCTTGGTGCCAGTGGCTTGGATTTGCTCAGTTTATTTACAAGGCATTGGATACGATATATATATATACATACACAGTATATGTAGTATGTAATATGTATATCAGAATAAACATATATATATTATATATATACTATAGTATGAGCTTTGTAAGGTCAAGCTTTATAGTGCCCCCAAAATCGGTCGAGCTGATACATTTGGAAGGTATCACTTTCTATTGAATTGGATGTTCGCTTCACCATGCGTCAAAGTCATTCATTCTGAGGAGGGTCGAGTCTGGGCGGATAGGCAAACTGCGAACTCTTGGTGTTGTTATTGTTGTGACAGAAGTCCTGGTTGGTTCCTACTGCTTCAGCGAGAATTGGGAATTGGTGGGAACCCTTTCTGCAAAGTGTAATGATGGGAATTACCTCGCTTCGCCAATTGTCAGCTTCATCTATAGACCTGCAGTTGCTTATGGAACGCCTACGTACGCATCATGAACAACAACCGTAGTTCAACGGCGATTTCCTTGGATCTTAGCCCTTCATGTCATGTTCTGCCAAACAAGCAAACCCATCAAACTGCCAACAGACCAACCAACAAGATCGCTTTCCATCTAATTATATATATATAATTTTCCAGGGTTGCTTGCTGATGCTTGTCGTCACCACTCAGCACCTCCCTGCCAACTACCTTTCAGATCACTGAGGAGGATCTGCCACCGGCTGATCCCTGGGCAGATTGGAGCGATGAAGGCTTCCATGAGAGTTGGAGATGCTTGGAGGAGGAGTGGCGGCGTGGCAACTACGATGGGCTAATTGGTTTCCTGATCTGGATTACACTACATCATACATTGCGCTAAATCATATCATCGCGAATCATCGCTGTATGTTTGCACTTGGCTCACCCAACCATGTCACTGACTTGAATCATCCCGTGCGACATGTTCAGGGACACCCAATGAGCAGTTGTATGCAGGGACACCCCACTACCTGACAGCGGTTGGGTAAAATGGGGCGGGGCTAGCTCTCCTGGGTCGCTGATATCAGCATTCTCGCGGCTCTCAAAACCCAATGCATCCTCCTCCAGGATAGTGAGCTGCCTGCAACCCTCCCTCTGCTCTTTTGCATAAGTCTCCAATTAATCAATAGAGTTCATCATCCGTGTCTATAAGCTATAAGCTTTTCCAATCCGTCCTTGTCCTTGTCTCGTGTTTTCCTTCCAAGGCTTCTCCCAGGGCGCTTTGATGTCCGTCCTCTTCACCCAGCTCCTCAGCAAAAGACGCGACACCGCGGGCGAAGCCGCCTCGCCGCCAAAGCTTTTGATCCTTTGCGGTGGCTTTGCAGCACCCTCGCCGCCGGCGTGCCGTGGAGCTTGGCCGCCACGTGAGCGCCTGAAGGCGTCCTGGGTGTCTTTGGAGGTGAAGATGTGAGCATAGTGGGAGAGTATGTTAAATGGAACGTAATATATTCAGACTTTTGCGATGCAAATCCCTGAAGGTCCAAAAGCGTCCCAAATTGCCAAATAGTACTGAGGTTCTCCATATCGCTTGTGCCGAACTCATTTCGCTTGAACGTGTCATGCATTTGGGAAGGTATAGTTATGTGATGCTGTGTGTCATTGGTCGTGATCACGATCACATCAATGTGGCTGTGGGTCATGCAGCCTTGACTCCAGCAATGACTTCACTGCCTAAAGATGAACAGAACTGTTGGAGGTGTTCACATGTCCCATGACGACTTTGGATCTTCAGGTTTTAACCATGCCCATGTAAGTACTGTATCCTAATCCTAAGGAAATCTATGCATGAATATGGCGCAATTGTTGAGATCCTCAAGAACCCTGACAGAGCCTATTTACTTGGAAATCCCACGAAAAATCCACAGGAGAAGTGTGAAAAGCTTACTTTGAAGTCGGGTGTTGATCGACAGTTCCTTCAGTATTGCAACTGCTTACACCTGGCATGCTCAGCGACCATGGTGGCGGGCTTTCACATGAAGGCTGTATCCTCATTGTACAGACTGGACGGCTTGGCACAGGTGCCGTCCTTCCATCTGTGGGGACGCGACGATCCCATCGTGGCGAACCTGCGTTCAAGGGAGCTGGCTGATCTCTTTCATCAGCCTTGTTTCTACGTGTCTGGGCGCATGGAAGACTGGGAGTTAGAGGTGAAAGGTAGAGGGCTTGGGACGAAGTGCTGCGGAGTCAAGTGAAGTTTGAGTTTCAAGGTCTCTGAGAGACTTACATGTTCCTTTTGAAGATGTTGATTTGCCTGGTTGGCCAATGCGGTATTTACACTCCTCCTAACACAATGGGTTACGATTACTTCGAACCCCGACCCCTCAAGAAAAAGTGGGTGTGCTACGTGCAAGAAGAGCCATCCATTAAAAACATCAATGTCTCATCTAATCAACAATAGAGTCCGTAAGCAAAATAGAGGACGGAAGAAGACTGCATAAATCCCAATTCAAACAGAGGATAGCAACCTCTTGGGCCGAAGCAAACGGTCAAAGGCCAGCTACGTTCGTGGCGCCACACCTAGGAGCACCAGCTCGTTGCGCCCAACGACCACAAGCTGGGGAGCCACACCTTTCCGTGGCCTGATGGTGATACAGAAGCCTTCAAGGCCTTGAGAAGCTTCATGGTGACTCGGCCAACGTGACACGACATCCGGCACGCAACGTCACGGCGGTGGATTGGTCGTGGTTTGCCTTTGAGCAATTCGGAGGACGCAGAACCTTGGCATCATGGATCGTTTGTGAAAGAGAACTGTTTTTTCCATCCCCAAAATGGCCAGACCGGGAAGGAAGGTTGCCACTTCCCGCTGACCTGGGATAGATGATCCAATTTCTGTGGTATGAACTAGTCTCCCAAAAGCTGGTGTTGAAGCGCAACCACAATACACTCCCTCAAACACACAACTCCAACACGCCAGAGCAAACAGTATTTGTTGGTTGCTGGGTTGAAACCGTTTGGCCGATGCTGATGCCTAGGCGAAGGTGCTTTCGCCGGTGGCCAAAAAGGATCTCCAGCCTGTCCTGTTCGGCTTTGGTCTTAAAGCCTATAGATTTCAAAGTGTCTTCAAACATAGTCGGGCAGTACAGGTAACATAGATGAGGATTGAAGACATGGAACTTCATGAAACTCTTGGCTTTCAGACGAGGACCAAAAGTCACAAAATGCAGGACTTACAAACAAGGGCATGGTTGACAGATTGTATCCTGCAGGTTATTTACCAGGCTACCGCCTGCAGCCGCCGACCCCCAAGGGATAGAACCTTAGCGCTAGCCTTGCTCTAGCCAGAGAGGTGGGGTGAGGCGTGACTGTCGATGTTAGCCTTAAGCCTTAGCCTTAGCCTTAGCCTAGCCATAGACTTAGCCTTAGTCATAGACTTAGCCTTAGACTTAGACTTAGACCTTACTTTTTTACCTTTCCGGACCCGGGGTTTGTTTGTAGGATTTCCCAGGTATGCGTAGAAAATTGCGAACCTATTTTCTTCCATTGTTGTAGAATTTTCTAGGACTTCCTCTTGTGTTTAGGTTCCCAGATTTCCCCAAAAATATCCAAAAATTGATTAATCTATTGTTAACCCCCAAGGGATAGAACCTTAGCGCTAGCCTTGCTCCAGGCAGAGAGGTGGGGTGAGGCGTGACTGTCGATGTTAGCCTTAACCTTAGCCTAGCCGTAGTGTTAGACTTAGCCTTAGCCTTAGACCGCCCCCGGGTAGGAGTTCCCCATTTTTTCCACGGTTGTAGAATTATCTAGCATGTCCGCTTGCGTGTAGGTTCCCTGATTTGCTCAAAAATTGATGAACTTACTGGAATTTTCCCAGGAATGCGCTAGGCTTTGTCTAGATTTTGCGCTGGACGAGGTCCAGCCAGTGCCCGTGGTAACGTGAAAGGCCCCGGTAAGATTTTCGCATGCCTGTCAGGTGCCCGTGTCCGCGCCATGTGGCGTGTTGGTTCTAGGACGGAGCAGCGCAAACGGAAGCTCGGGGAGGTGATGGCGAGCTTCTCGCGCCAGCCAGGGAAGAGACCGTAGCCGGCACGCGCGCGTGGCGGAATGTCGGCAGTGCGGGAGGCCGGGGAGGGAGGGGGGGACGGAAGGGTGTGGAAGCGGGTGGTTCCACGGTAGGAGGAAGGACGTTGCCGTGGATGTGGGGAGGGTAGGGTTTCCTGGAGCACCCCTTGAGCCAAATGCAGGAGTCGAGAAGAGCCCCGTCACCCAAGTTGTCGGGTGAGAGGCAGCCGGTGTTTGCGTTGTGCGTTTCCTGCGGGAGAAGGGCGCTGCCCATGGTGTTTGCTAGGTCGCGTCAGCCAGCGAGGGCGTTGCCCATGTATGTCCCCTTGTGCAGGCCACGGAAAACTGCTCGGTGTAGTTGTCGTGAGCGGAAAACGCCGGCGCGCAGTGTTTTGGGAGGCTGGCGGAAGCCGACGGCTGCTGGAGCTGGACGAGGCGCGCAAGGGATGTGTAGTGGAGTGTGGAGTGAAGCTAGGGAATGCGAGCGCCGGGGTGCGAGGAGCGGGTTTAGCGCGGGCGGAGCGTGAGTTGGGCGTTGCCGGCAGCACTTTTGGCTGGAGAAGTGTGGTTGTGATGGTTGCTGATGGTCCAGGGGCAGCTCGCGGGAAGGGACTGGACCAGTGGTCGAACCTTGGAGGACCAGTTGCTACAGGGAAAGCTGTGGGCTGAGGACTCTGTGGATCTGGTCTCGGAGGGCAGGTGGCAGTTGTTTGGGGTGGCTCTATGTGTGTCGTGGGGCACTGATGCTGCTGCATGGCCGAGAATGGAGGGATTTGCGCGAGAGCAGCCGCAGACGCCTATTCGCGCGCCCTGGAAGGAATTGACGAGGACCGAGGCGAGCACATTTCTGACACTGGGTGGTACAGCGTCCAGGGTGCTGTACACGGCCCTGTTCAGCGCCGGATACACTTTGGATATTGACAACCCCATCAACACCCCTGCAAGCTTGGAGAACTGCATTGGATGCGTCCAAAATTGGCAAAATACGCACTGGGTGGCCTATATAATGGTTGGGGAAGAAATTTTTCTCTGTGATTCCTTGAAGCCGCGGCCTGAGAAAATATCCGCAGCCGCGCTGGCAGCTACGCTGCCGCACTGCCCGACGTACGCCATCCGTGCATAGCTGCTCCTGGAAGCCCCCCGGACCACGTCGTCTCGCGCGACGCAGTCGCCAAAGAAAACGCCTGCGAGAAAAAGACCACGGAAGGGAGCTGCTGGGCTAGCCGTGCGTGGGTGGATCGCGGGTTTTTTTGCCCCAGATTGACCATCGGACGTCATCTCTTGCATGAACCCCGTGATGCGGAGCCCTCCTCCCCATAAAGGATATCATTGCCCAAGAATTTAGACCCAACCCTTCACCACCAAAGCAGGTATCCAAAAAGTCGACTTTTTGGGTACCTCCTAGGTTTACCATCGGACGTCGTCTCTTGCATGAACCCCGTAATGCTGAACCCTCGTCCCCATAAATGACCCAACCCACGCGTTGGGATAGGGGATGGCTTATTTAATTATTCCAGGGGACCTGTGGGATAGCGGAATAATTTTTTTGGAATAATTTTGGTGGATTAATATTTTATCAAAGGGCTAGTCATAGGGCCCTCTGGAATAATTTTCAAGAATACTCAAGTTGCGACGTTTGATGATCTGAAGTCAGCAGCTGGACGCGAGTGAGAGGCTCAAACAAGAAACATCAAGAAACAACAAATATATATAAGGATATATAAGGAATACAAGAAGCTAGCAATCGCTGGCCATGTACAAAACCAAGGAAAACATAGGAAAACCAATGTTCAGATTTAGATTTTAGATTGGCAGCATTTTGCAGCCATGTCGAAGTCTTTCACAATATGGGAAGAGTTCATCAGAACGGTTCATCAGAATGAGTCAGATTATGTCAGATTGCTCTTGCTGTGTGAGTCGCTGTGTTGATATGTTTTTTATATGAAGATATAGAGAAAGCTAAAAAATATTCCTGGAACTCAACCAGTTACCAGAATAATTTTTGAAAACTAACTCAAGGGGGGTCAGAATAATTTTAAATTATTCCTAGGGTCTTTCACAGGGGGGGCCCTTAAGCCCTCCCCTATGCGTTGGGTTCTGCGGCCTGTGGGGCCGCAGGGCGCTGCCCATGGTCTAGGGTACATTCAAGTGCCACAAGTGTCGGCGCCCGGACTTGTGCTGAATCGATCGGTTTCTCCCG